GATTGTATGGATATAGATAATTCAGCAGGTTGTCAAGGGAGTGTGTCCCCATACCAAACCAGGTTATTAAGAAATAATGTGCGTTCCTTTTTGGTAATCAACCAATGAAAGACTAGAATACAAACAAAATTAAATTATGTATGTATAAAACAAGCATTGGTTGCTGTAAATTTCACATTTTTCATTTGATATATTTTTGGGATATTAATAAGTTTTACAGTTTCTAAAATGAAGTTTTCAATTTTACTCTATTTTACTGATTCTTGACCATTGAGTTTTAATGCAGTGTATCGAATAGCCCTTGTTTTACAGCTTCTAACAATGAAATAATGCGATGAAAATTGGTCAAATCAACTGTTACCAATCCATTAAAGATTCAATATTGAGAGAACCTCAAGCTTAATGTCATACAATTTCTCTGTTGTATGTCATCGAGCTAATGGCATTATTTATTGAACGTCCCTCGTAGTTACTGGTTTTCTGGTGACGTAAGACATTTAAGAAATATAGAACTTCCATGGACGTTGATTAAAGTTGTGACCACCTTATAAGGCTCTGTTTTAAATGTTTATCCCTAAGACAAATTGAAGCGTAAATGGAAGTTGTCGGCTAACAAAGTGTTCTTGACATTGCTATTGAAATTGGAACATCATATGGAACAATGTAGAGTATTTCTAGATATGAATGAAAAATAAGATAAGTTGGTGCAAGAGGATACCCAGGTTTTCTTGAGAAATAAAATGAAGAAAAGGGTAGTCTTTTGTTGAATTACGAATTTGAATCGTACATTAGAATGAGATGCTTCTATAACGTGAAGTGACATATCTAACTTGACGTTACGTCGACGTCTACCCCTGACTTCAGGACTATCCATTTTCAGAAAGCTCATGTGACTATATTGGTTATTTGAATCTGTTGAAGGTTTTCAATATTGATGCATTATGACTCTATATTATCATAAATATGAATGTTGTTTTCTTTCACCAAATCACGATTAAATTTTATAAAACAATACCGCAAACTTCTGGATAATCCTCGTATAGGGAACCCCGATCATTCAACTGGTTTGGAATTTCATTAAATTATAGATTCTGTTGAAGATACGCCAGACAATGGGCCAGATATGAACAAGACGCTGACAATTTGTAACTCCTTCTAAACTCGCTTGGCTTGTGGAGGTACCGGGATAGCCCAGCTTCGCTTTTCTCTTTTTATTAAATAATTCCTTTTAAATTTGTGGACCAGAGCGGCTGCCATGGTTGGGGAGTGGCGATGTTACCCAACCTGTATAAAATGCAACCAAGACAGTCAAGATTCAGCTGTCCACTGAAATCTTTACTATCCCAGCCGTTCATTTCATACTAGGTTTACGTTTGTAGATTTACATGTCCATATTTGAATCTCCTTCGAAATTTGCAAAAATTACTTTAAATTTTTGATTTGAATTTTTATTACTATTATTCTAACCTTGAATTCTTCTTCAATTTCTAATGCACTTTTAAAATAAGTTCCAATCTTTTGCATAACTATTGTTTGTTGTAACTAATTTATCCAAACACCTGAACTTTGGTCACTCCAATCTCATTGGTTTCTTCTTCCTCCTAACCAAATACAAGAAAACAAGTAAACACCCACATTGTAATGAATTGCATGTTGGTGAGTGGCGATGTTACCCAACATGTATAAAATGCAACCAAGACAGTCAAGATTCAGCTTTCCACTTTTTATTATATTAAACAATCTATTTGTAATTGTTATGATTACAGTAAATAATTTGTTACAATATACTAGAAATTATACTTAACATTACTAGTTATGATATAAAAGATTGTAATCTGTAACTAAATTAAGCCATGTGAAAATTTTAATAATTTGACAAAAACCGCGCAAGTCTAGAAAATTATCTCACCTGTATAAAATGCAACCAAGACAGTCAAGATTCAGCTTTCCACTGAAATCCTGTCTATCCCGGCCGTTCGTTTTATACTAGGTGTAGCTTTATAGATTTACATCTCCATACTTGTTAATTCTTCGATATTTGCAATAATTACTTTAAATTTATATTTGAATTTTAATTACTGTTTTTCTGATCTTGGGTTCTTCCTAAATTTCTGATGCACTTTTAAAATAATTTCCAATTTTTTGCATAATCTTTAAATATTATTCGTTGTAGCTAATTTATGTAAATATCTGACCTCTGGTCAGTTCAATACTATTGGTTCCTTCTTTGCCCTAACCAAATATATGTTTTCATAAACAAGTAAGTAGCAGCTGCATTTATTTTGTGGGACCGTCTGGTTTAAAGTTAAATTCTTATTGATCAGTCTCTTTGATTACTTTTTAACCAAATCCATCTTTTCATACCCAAGTAAATATAATTGATGCCAATGATTTATTTTTATTTTCAGAGCTAGCATCTTTTATCTCTCTAAGCCGAATAATGCCAATCCATAAAATCTGTTTGATTTTTAAATTTACTGAAATTTTTGTTTTTATAATATAATGGAGAGATACCAGAAATGTACATATATTTCTAACAAAAAGTCCAATAAATTAGAAACTTTTGTTGCTACAGCAACAAAACGGTTCCGTTCTCCTCTATTTATCTTTTTATGAATGACTTTTATCCATGTTAAAAAGGCATATATTATTTAAAACGATACAGGAAAACAAACGGCCGGAACTTACCAAGATTCTCGACATAACTTTAGACAATTATAGTCTTAATAACATTTACAAAAAACATTTTCAATTTTTTATCACTTCTTGTGACGACCAGAAATGACGGCAGACACATTTTATGCTTTATTTGTTTAATGTCCTGATCTCTTACAGTTTAAGAGATGATCTTGTAATGTTAACATTTCATTTTGAGAACAAGAATTGACGTGACCGGAAGTAAATTTTCAAAAAGATATTTGAGGTTACTCTACACATTTCAGTGTGAATTACATGTCTGAAGATCATTTCAAATTCTCTTTTTATAAGATATTTAAGGTTTAGTATGATACTCAATTTATGCAAATTTTCTCTCATAACCGGAAGTTGTCGATTTTGTTTCCAGTGGGACTGATATATTTCGAAACTAGAAAAAAGATTCTGTAATGTATTACTAAGAAAGGTTCCATAAAGAAATGTTGAAATTTTTGATTTATTTGATCGCTTCCTGTGACATCGGAAGTGACGGCGGACGATGTTAACCTAAATGGATTTGCCTTCTCATAAAGATCTACAACTCTTATAAGTTTGGTGTCGTAATCTTTTACCGTTTACGAGATCTAGCTATAATAACTTCGCATTTTGAGGACAGGAAATCACGCGACCGGAAGTGAATTTTAAAAGGATATTTGAATCATTGATTGATTGTATACTGTTTAACGTCCCTCTCCAGAATATTTCACTGATATGAAATTAAATTTTCCACCCCAAATCCCCCTGTGAAGAAAATGTACATAGGCATCCACCAAAAAAATTGAGGCCACTTCAGCCAAAACGTATTACGCTAATTTTTACGCTACATTACAAAAAACATGAAAAGTTAACCAATGAATCCATTTGAAACGAAATTAATAATGTGTAAACAATCCTCGGATTCAATACAAATGAAAAATTATCGAATGCATATTAAAAAAATCATACTTTTGTTATACATAGGTTTATTAACAGATATATCTTGACTGGATACTTAGTATAGGGAGGCATAAGCTTTACGTTTTAGTTTCAATATGTGAGACTGGGATCTGTCTTAATTTTCTAGCTTGATCCCTCCTTAAAGTGTTATCCACCTTGGGTTTCAATCAATAAAATTTATTTTAAAAAAATTACCTGCTTAAAAAGTGTTTTAAACCTTTTTTCTATTCTTTATAATTATATACATCTTTCCACCATAGCATCTTTTTTATTTATAGTATTTAAATTTTTATAAGAAAAACGCTTGTTTCCATAGACCACAATGTAATCTAAATTGATTAATTACTGTAGGGGTAATAATATTTTGAAGAATTTTCTCCAGGTAAATCCTTTGCTATTCTAAACTGCTTCGAATAAGAATTACAGTATTTAATACAGGATGGATATTCAAGGTTAGAAAATTATATCCTTCTAGGGATCGGATATCTTCAATAAGCATATGCAAGATTAACCACACGTTTCCGATGATGGTCATATATTGATTCATAAATAATAACAGTTCAGAATTTTTATTTTTGTAACAATTCACTCTACATGCATGTTTTTCTTTCATTTGTCACTTTCGGGATTCTTTGTTTTGGTTGGGGATGGGGAAAGGGTGTGTGTGTTGCATGATACCTCCTGCTTGAAAAGAGAAAGGGTATATAGTTATCGGTATGTCCGTCCGTCTGTCTGTTACGTTTTGGGCTACCAATATCTTATCCACAATTCCTCCTATACCACTCATTGAAATTTAATGAAACTTTTACAGAATCGTTATATTGCCATTTTGCACCTCCTGTTTTACTTTTTGATCCAAAACATATTTTGGGTTTCCTGGCCCCAGAAAAACATGGACTTTTGCCATTATATCCATATGGGAGGCTGGGGTACCGTTTAGTGGGCTCATTGCTCACAATACCTCTAGTATAGTTTTGGTACAAAAAGTTTTTGGCGTAAAAATCTAGTTTTGTTTGCTTTGTTTTTCTTTTCTTATTTTACAGTAGAAGTTTCATCCAGATAGGCAAATAGTTATATTAACAAATTTATATGTTCTGTATTGCGTTTAATCATTTTATAAGATTTTCTAAATATTTTACTCTCTTGCCTAATATTAACCTTGCTGGGTTTTTTTTTTATCAAGGAAGAAAAAATTGCACTTTTCTTAATGTTTTTCACAGGAGAAAAATGGGCAATGCAGACAACAGGTTTGGGTAACAAAGCAAGTCACAAAGCAAGTCTGTGTATATTAATGAATGACACCATTTTTTTTATGTTTGAATAGATATTTAAAACTTACCTGTCATTCGGTGTTTCATAATATGTGCATTGTGAATAGGACGGACACACATTCGCTTTTTTGTCCAGGAGCTGTAGACGAATAAAGTAAGTTGAACAAAGTTTAAACATATTTAATTCTCTATTTTTTGTAACATTGATAAAATTTCATGATGGTTTAATTAAGATAAGAACTAGTTTGCAAATTGTATTGTTTTATAATAACTCTTGTAAATGGCAGACGAATGCCTCCATTTAGACTCTTGAAGTTCTACATGTATTAGAGTATATAGGTGTTTACCTATTATAACATTCAATAAATAGAATATATAGATCAATATATAGATATTTTTTCACGTGAAAAGGCACGCGTACACAGAAAACAGGTGCATAAACAGAAAAAAAAATCACAATCCAATATTTTATAAATGCGTAAACGTAATTACTATAATTAATTTTTTAATCAGGAAAAAGTCTAAGAAATGAACATACATGCTATATTTTTCAAACCAACAAAGAGATATTATTATTCATATAAATGTATGCCTGTTTTCCTGCTTAAGAAAAAGAATATTTGTCAAACATCATATCATAGGCAAGAAGAGTGGATTTTTTAAATTCATCCACGCAGTGACCTTGAAGTTCAATCTTATTTAAATAGATGTAATATTACTCATCTTTTTTACTGCAATGACATTTAAATATTCTATGGACGAAATTATTTCTCAGACAAGGAAGTTTATTTCTCAAAATTGAAATTTAAATAAACCTATATTAAACTACATATTGAACTTCAAAACATAAGATACTTAATTGAAAGTTTCTTTGAAAAGGGAACAACCTTCGAATGACATTTAAAAAAATGATTGCCCTAATTAGAGCCGTTGTAATTATATACCTTTGGTTTTTCGTATATGTATTATGCATTGTTGAAAAATGTTCAAGTACAAGTTAAAGTTCATTTATTCACTCAAAACTATCTAAAATACGAGGGTTGTCTGAGCGCACTAATCTGAAATTTCCACTTATTGTTTATTTATCATATTGAAGGGCATCATAATTTCTTATGAAACATAAATAGAAAAAATAAATACAAAAATAAAGATTTTATTATGCTTGAATGTGCACATGGTACGGTCCTACGGCGCACGGTCAAAAATCGAAGGTTTTACTAGAGAAAACATGAGTATTGATTCGAAATAAAAGATTTAAATACTGTAGACGTCCTTTTTTTCACGGGGTCATAATTCTGCGTAATCTACATTTCTTTTTAATCCGTGTGTAGAAAATTACGTGGATTTCCTAGACTGTCACTATATGCCTTACATTCATATTAAGTACGCTTGGACAAATTTCCGCGTAAAATTTGTGACCGCGTACGTAGCGTAAATTAATACCATGCGGAAAAAAGTACTTCAACAGAAGATAAGATTTGGGTAAAAAGGATCCTTATTTGATTCCACACTGAATTGTTGTGTGTTTTAAAATTTCAATGCATTTGGTAAATTTTTTCGTAGTTTCCCGATCATTGAAATGGGAAAGTGGTAAATAAAACAAAACGTTTAGTGACGTTACGACGCTCCGGAGAGCAGTTCCGTTTGATTTAGATTGTGTGATAAATGAATATAGAAGAAAAAATAATTTTTTTTTTAAAGTACCATATTTTTAAGTTTAGAAATGAAATGAGAGATTTCCGAGTGAGGTCTTTCTTGATCCAGTCCCCATATAGTACAAAACATACGGACAAACTGCTATATAAATAGCAAAGACGCTGTCACAGATGACCGTCAATATAAGATTTGTCTATTACTTGAATAATAATGGGAATATTGTCCGTAATTTTCTAATAAATCTTCAGAAGATCGCACATTTGTGCGAGATTGGTTACTCAACTCTTAATGAAGACAAAAGTATGTGCATCAATGAAATTATTTAATTTAAGTGACTCGTCCAAATTTATTTTTAGCTCAAAGATTAAAAGTGGCCCTGTTTTAACCACTTTGACGTTATCATCGGTGCGCCGTAGAGCGATACAATGCATAACATAAAATATAATTTGTTCATTTATGAACATATCTATTTGAAATTTGCTATTTTTATTCAGAGAATATGTACTAAAAAATAGAGAAATTTCAGATCGAAGTGATGATTCTAATTCACACTAGACAACTTGTCCACGATTTTACCGAACAACCCTCGTACATGGTACATGAGGACAATAAAAAATATTGACAGCATCCTCTGCGTATGTACTAAATCTAAATCTTCTAAATCTAAAACAAATCAAATAATAGGACAAACAGTTTATAACAGCAGTCTCCTTTAAAGTCATAATTTCGTAACTTCTATGGTTGTTACAATGACCTTATCAGCAAATAAAGATTATCATTTTGATTCAAATGCTGACTGACGTTTTTCCTTCAAATTGTTAGGTCATTCTTTACACATTGAATTGACTACGGATTTTTCCGGTTTCTTCCCATCACGAAAAGGAGCACAGGGCGGACGTGACCTGTCGGCGGGGGATCTTCTATCCACCGTGGCACCTGATTTCACCTCTGATGTTTTGAGGGTCTGTGATTGCTCTGGTCCTTTTTAGTATTATGGATTTTTAGTTTGAATACTGTTCTTTATCTCCAAATAAATTATCGATCCTCTCTGAACTCAATTAATATCTACAGTATCCTATGTTAACATAAGATAAGCAGATTCCAGTAAATGTTAAAATGTTTATATCTGTGAATTCACAGTGAGCTATAAATTTTTGAAAAAATGAAGCACTTCACATGAACAAGAACTATTTTTTTTTAAACAAAAAGTTCATTTTTCGTTTTCAAAAACATGTGAAACTACATTTGCATTTAATGTCCCTATCACGTTGACGTCCCTAGCATAAAACAGTCTATTTCCGACGAAATAAAATGCCAACAAATTGAAAATTTAGTTCATCTGTGTTTTATGATGTGATATGAAATTTATTCGTTTTCTATTTGAAATGGACATTACGCCGAAACTTTCATAATGTTTTTTTTTTTAATGTTTCGTTGTATTTGCTGGCAAAGTCTTTGTATCGACCATAGAACTTATTAAATGATGAATTAAAACGAGACTATTGATATCTTTGTTTCCTCTTCTTTTGTCAATAGCTTGTCTTATTTCACCTACAGAAATTGTTTGTACGTGTAAATGGAGCAAGCTCATGCGTATTAAATAAGTGGGTAAACCAAAGTTGCATGTTGGTTTAGTAAGGGATGTAGACGATGAAAAGTAAAAGTCATAGGATTATTATACAATTTTGTTCACATGATATTTTAATAACAATTTGAGGATAGGCCTATAAAGATCAAGTCTCTATGCGAGTTTCTGAATGTAAATGTAAATGATCTAAAATATTTATTGTCAATGAAGGTCGGAAAACAGCCTTTTAGAAATTGGTCCTTTCATACAAAAGTGAAATGCAATTCTGCTTCTTTGATTGATATAGAAGTCAAATATATTTTGCATTAAACTTAACAAATGAAACAGTCTCAATTAATGCCTTAAAAGCATCGTGTAATCAATCGATTATATCTTTCAATTTCAGATTGTTAGGTGGAAGAAAATGGCTACCGTTCAGGGACAAGATATTATTTCATGCTATCTGTGTCCTAATTCTGTGGAACACCACTGCAAACCTTGTCACATCGATATTTGCAACAAATGTGTATCATCACACCTGGCCGATAAATCAAGGGAACATGAAGTTGTAGACTTTAAATCACGGAAAAAAGACAAACTTGTTCTTCCTGTCTGTAAGTTACATGACGAGAATCAATGTCCGACATTCTGTAAAACCTGTTCAATACCAATTTGCCACGATTGCTTAATAGGATCTCACAAAGAGCATGAATTTATGGGGATCAAAAATATAGTTGATGAACACAAATTCAAAATAAAAGCTGATACCGAAGAACTTCAAAATACCATTGTTCCGAAACTTAGTAAAGTCGAATCTTTTACAACTGCGGCTGACTTCGATAAAATTCTAAAAGAAATAAACGACCAAGAAGATAAAATGTGTCAAACTGTACATAACGAAGCTACCTTTTTCAGAGACGCCGTGACAAAGCAGAAAAATCAAGCTGAAACAGAAAACAGAGAAAACAGGAAATTAGTAGCAAAAACAAAAGAAGAACTCAATACAATTATTAAGATGAATGAGGACATCCTCAGATCAAATGATGCAATGACTGTTCTAAAATACACATCATTCAATAAGAACCTAAAAAAGGGCCCAATGATATTCAAATATCAATGTCCAGACTTTTCCTCACATCCAATTGACCCAAAGCAAATTCGGAAAATGTTTGGCTCACTTTATTCTACCAACCCTTCTGGCAGGCAGTTTACATTTTCAAAGATGATGGAAGTTCCTACAGTACTGAAAACTCTTCAGAGTCCTTATGGAAAGACTGGTCAAAAGTTGTGGCAGGTGCATTGTATGGGGAATAAAAATATCTTAACAAGTGGTCGTGGAAAATCAATAAATTTAGTAAACAAGAGAGCATTTGTCTTACAAAAAATAAAAACTAACAGTGATGTCGTAGTATTGTCGACTAACTTAGAACATGAACCAGTATTTACAGGAAACCCTTTGGACGATACAAAAGTTTACATTTATAGGAATGGCAAAGTTGACATACTCATGGATTTAGTTGATTGGAGCCCTAGAGGTCTCTGCCATACTGGAGCGAAGGATCTGCTGGTAAGTATGCGCTCAAAGGATAGGAGTCAATCTAGAGTGGTGTTATATACAGATAACATACAGAAGCAAGTGATACAATATGAGAAAAAGGAAATGCCTTTGTTTTCTACGGGGTACCGGTCTCGCGGTTTACTTCGTCTGACTGAAAATCGCAATGGAGATGTTTGTATCGCTGACTTTCATGCAAATGCCGTTGTAGTGGTGGATGCGTCTGGAAAATTTAGATTCAGGTATCTTGGTAATCTTGGTAAACTTGCTCCGTCATCCCAGTACAAGGAGTTTCAACCATCAGTGATTGCTGCTAATATAAATCACCAAATCTTAGTGGGTGATTTTGCGAATGATATAATTCACATCATAGATCTTGATGGAAACTTCGTTCGTTTCATCAAACACCCATGTTCTGCAGGACTTAGTATTGACTCTGAAGAAAATCTCGTTATTGGTGAATATTATACCGGAAAAATTCGATTCGTAAAATACCTATTGTAAAGCTCAAAATGAAAGATTCCGTCTAAAACTTTACAGGAAATAGTTGAAAGTTATAGAAAGACAAATGTAAAGTTCCTTTGTGAAATGTAGAGAACATTTGAAAGGATTGCTTGTTACTTCCTTGTTGTGAAGTATACACTGACTATGATAAACAATATTTCAATTACGAAATAGATAAGAAGCAAAAAAACTTTCAATAGGAATTGAAGTATCGTCTGTCTCGTGATCAAATCCCGTGAAGGCCCAAGGTCTGCTCGGATTTGACTGAGTACCGACCCACTTCAATTCCTATTGAAGATTTTTTTAAACAAAACTATTGTCCCCCGCTTTCGGGAAAGCGAGGGGACATTAAATCTCATTCGTCTGTCCGTCTGTCCGTCTCTCCGTCTGTCTGTCTGTCTGTCTGTCTGTCTGTCAGTCTGTCCGTCCGTCACAAAAACTTTAACCTTGCCCATAACTTTTGATTTAGTGGAGCTATGACTTTCATATTTCACATGTGTATTCCATGTGACAAGACCTTTCTTTGAGTACCACTAAATTTGACCTTTTGACCTTGACCTTGGAGTTTGACCCACTTTTACACAAAAATTCCAAACTTTTACTTTGGTCATAACTTTTGAATGGGAGGAACTAGGACTTTTATATTTCATATATGTATTGTTTGTAGCAAGACCTTTTATTGGATACCAACAACTTTGACCTTTTGACCTTGACCTTGGAGAGTTATGTACTTATGAAAAAAACTTTAACTTTGACCAAAACTTTTGAATTGTAATCCTTGTAAAAAGACCTTTCATTAACTACCAAGAACTTTGATCCTTTGACCTTGACCTTGGAGTTTGACCTACTTTTCAAAAACTTTGACCTTGGCCACAATTTTGGAACAGTAGATACTGGGACTTTCATATTTCACATATGCATTTTTTTTGGCAAGACCTTTCATTTGATACCAACAACCTTGACTTTTTGACCTTGACCTTGGACATTTTTGTACTAATAAAAAACTTAAATCTTGACTATAACTTTTGAATGGTAAGGACTAGGACTTTCATACTTCAAATATGTAATCCTTATGAGAAAACTTTACATTGGATACCAAGAACTTTAACCCTTTGACATTGACCTTGAGTTCAGTGATGATTTCTAAATAAATGACATGATAGAGTGTTCATATTACACACAATACATCATAAAAAATGACATCTCACCCACAATGACACCGAAAGCGGGGGACCACAATTCCTTGAATTTGCTTGTTTATACTACATGTAATATATACATTTGAGACGGATAATCGAATATCTCGTAAGAATTGTAATAACCGGTCGCCGTAGATTTTGACAGATCAACGCAAGGGGTAAATCGAGTTGAAACGCGATTACCCTTTGAATTCATTAGACAAAGGATTCAGTTTTGAAGGCGATATGTCTTTTAAATAGGTATACTTGTGATCAGTATAGTAATTTGATTGATGTATGGAATTTCTTTGCATTCGTGAACATCAATATTCGATGCTGAAAGGACCTAAGAAACACATACAATGTTTGATTATAAATAAGTTAAAGCAATTTCGGTCGAAGATGAAGGCTCGTTTCTGAGCCAGGAACTGATAAGTAAGTGTGAAATTTGATTAAAAACAGATAGCAAACCATTAAATCTCCAAATTCAATAAGACGTATCTATAATTTTGTAGATTATAAACAAAGACATTGGAGATCTCTTACTTTGTTACGACAACGACAGCATAATTGTCAACTGTTTGTGTCGTGATGTATTGCACTGATATTATGCAAATTCATCGTGAGTAAAGATAATAAAAAAAACAATTTGCATAGCGGTCAATTTAAGATGAGGATTTTAAGAAATGTCCACAAATATAAGGCTAAACTCAGAGACTGTACAGCTGGCATGACAATGTCGTACATTTCTTTTTTATTCTCTGATCTTAAATTTACACGGGGTAAATCGATCACCAAAGTTGTTTTAAATACTTCTTTTAAATGTAAATAAAACAACTGTCACTTTTTTGTGTGTGTTTTAAATTTATACATTATATCATGCTCATTGCTAGACCTAAAACTAAGTAGACCCTAATGCAAGTCATTTTATGTTATTGCGCGGTGTAACTACGTCAGGTATTCCCATATGGCCCTTGAAAAAACTATATAAAAATATTTTTGAAATTTGATATAACGAATTGTCGAATTTGTTATAACGAATTTGATTCATTATAACAATTTCTTTGAATTTGTTATATACTGATTTTAATCTGTTTTTTTTTTTGAATTCATTATAACGATTTCTTTAATTTGTTATAACACATTAAATCCGTTAAAACGAATTCAAAAAATTGTTATAACAAATTAAATTCATTTAAACAAATTCTGAAGTTTGTTATAACGAATTAAATTCGTTTAAACAAATTCAAAAGTTTGTTATAACGAATTTAATTCGGTAAATCAAATTCAATAATCAGGACCTATAGAAAAAATATACACTGTAAGAATTTGATATAACAATTTGTCGAATTCGTATTTATGAATTTATTTCGTTATAACAAATTATGGAATACTTTTAACGAATTCAATTCATTATAACAATTTTTAGAATCTGTTTAAAGGAGTTTACTTTGTATTAACAGATTTTTGAATTCGTTAAAACAAAATCAATAAACTTGTTATACAATGTAACAGATTAAACTCATTATAATGAATTCAAAGAAAATGTTATAATGAATTAAATTCGTTTTAACAAATTCGATTATTCGTTATATCGGATTCAAAAATATTTTTCTATAGGTCCTAAATGGGCTTCCGTAGTATGTAGATATATGCTCTTTTAATGTATATATTATAGAGAGATAACACGAATGTGTATATCTTCTGTTGACACTTTGGTGTTTTGAATAATGTACATGTAAATAATTATCAATCATTCTAGTTTTTGTAAGTCTTTGAACAATAAAATATATACATTCTTAGTGTTTATTTATTACCAGTGCTTTTTTTTTATTATTATTATTTTCTTAATTATCCCCCTTGCTTAAGGGTCACAGCCCTGTTTAAGTACGGATGAGAGACCTTGGTCCAAGGATACTTACTGATAAATTTTAGAGAAATTGGCTTAGATATTCCTGAGTTGTGTTCAATTTTGACATTTGGATATTTCCAAATATGACGAGTAAATCTGCTTAAAAAAGGAGATAAATCCCACGTTATCTTTTAGGGAAGCTGATTTTGAATTGTCGGTAGTAATGATATCCCCTGGGAAGTACAAAAAATCTCCTTCACAGACTTTTTATAGATATATACCTCTAGGTACATGTAATGTAAGAGTCAGTTCTATTTCAAAACGAATATACGGAGCAACTTATCTAAGAACAACTATCCAGGGCGGGTCTGGATTCAAACAAGGCAATGTCATTTATAAACTACAGGCATCAAAGTTAGTAGGAAATTGCTTTGTCTTTAAAAGGGGCTCATGCTCTTTAAAAACTCCAGGCTTAGACACTATTGTGCAAACTATCATTACAATTAATTTAAGATAATGGCCTCCAATTCAACAAAAATAAATTGTACATTAAATGTTTCAGCCTACCATTTAAACTCAGTGAGAATAACATTCCCAAATGGCGAGAATAATAATTAATTTTTTTGGAGTTGACGGTTGATCGAGAGAATTGACATGGATTTCAGCGTCTTAAGATTAAAGTTAGAATTTTATTAGTGAATGATGCTTTTTAGGAATTTACGTGGTAATGAATTCCTTGCATGTAATTAGGAATCTACAGTAACATGTAGTCTAATAGGATTCGTTTTTTAACAGGACTGATGAATCGATCTCTTTATTCACAGAGTTGTAATATATACATGTAATAAAAGAATTTCAAGATAAATATCTTAAAACAATCTAATCTTTTCAATTTTTAATTGTCTCCCTTAGCTAAGATTAATTCTCCTCTGTTATAAAAAGAATTATGAATTTTGGCACAAGTATAATAATGAATCATTGAGTATTCTATGAGATCCTCCATCTTTTCTTTTTGAACTTTGAAATCCTTGTCATGTTTCTGCTGAATTCCTGACATAACTCGTTCGTGTTCAACCCTAGCTCTGTTGAGACTGTCTGAAGCCCCGATCTCGGCAAGCTGTTGGTGCAAAGTCTCTAATGTGGACTCAACAGTCTGTAAGCTTTTAACGGCCTTGAATTATTTCATAATCAAAATTAATGAATATGCATATTACATAATTTAACCTTCTGTCAGTCCATTGATATAGCATCTATATCTGAAAAAAATTGGTTTCAGTCTTAAGTCTCATTTCTAAATCAAAGCTATCCATAATACAAAAGAAGATGTTGAGGGTGTTCATTATTAGTATGTTATAATGAATAAAAAATATTGCCAACTTAAATGTCATTAATTCTATCAATTTTGAGCAAGGCAAAGTCTTCAATAGAGAATTAACCCATCTTCTCTACTCTCTATGTAGTAGTGTAAGACACTGACATTAAAATCCATATCTTGATTATCATTGACAACATTTCTTTCTTCCAAAAGTTTAAAACTAAATACTCCAAAAAATTAAATAGGTGAATCTAGTGCTTACATGCACATTATGAAATCCTAATTTAGGATCCTGATAAAGATCCTGAATGTGCACAGAAAATTTTTCAATGTGAATTGCACTTTTTACATTTGAAAATCTACAACATTATATGGTCAAACACTAATTTTAAAAATATAATACCATAATGCTGGAGTATTGCACCTATGGTCAACTTGAATCGACACTACCTAAGGATGCTTCTACATAAATATAACCAATCAAAGTTTTGCTGTTCTAGAGAAGATAGAAAATTCCTAAAGATATATCCTTTATATTTCTGCCGGGTTGTAAAACTTTGATCTCCCAATGTCCCACCCTTGGGGGTCATGATATTAACAAACCTGAATCTATATTATGTCGTAAAGGTTCTTGTCCACTGGTTCTTGAGAAGATTTTTAAATACACCTACCTAATTTTCACTATTTCTTAATTATCCCCCTTTTAAGAGATGGTGACCCTTCATTTGAGTAAGAACGTGAATTCCCTTTACCCAAGGATACTCTGTGCCAACTTTGGTTGAAAATGGCTCCATGGCTTTTGAGAAGAATATGAAAATGTGAAAAGTTTATGAGACGGACAAAGACGACAAAAATGGCGACTACAGACAACGGACAGATTTTGATCAGAAAAGCTGATTTGAGCCTCTGACTCAGGTGATCGAAAAGGAGTTGAACAAATAAACTTGCAGATAATAGCAGGTGAATAGGGAACAGACCATTTTTAAAGTCTGGTTTGTGCATGAATAATTCAAAGTTCTTTATATATATAGCTGTAATGATGACCCATTTATAATTCTTTTAATTGTAAATTTAAAGCACCCGAATACCTGACAACTCAAGGATACCAAGCTTTATATTGATCCAAAAAGGTTCATTACAGCAGCTTAAAACGAAAGTTAATAATTGTTAATTTTATAGAGAATTGACAGGAAATATTGAGTATGATATCAATTCTTTCGATGTTCAATATTGATTATATACTGAACCGATAATGTAAAATTTTAAATACTATGTCATGTCCAGCATTGTAAATGTCTCTTTTAATTTCGTTGCAATTAAAAAAATTTAATTTGTCAGTTTGTATAAATGACCTGGCAATGCTTACATTACAATATTACAGAGTGTCTAAATATGTTGTTTATATGACAAGTAAAAATTCTAT